CCAGGCTAGATAATCCTGTGCACAATCTCCTTCTGTGCAATATGTCAGTCTTGGCATACCTCTGACCATCTGTGTTGTCCTTTCCTGGGTCTCGTAAACTCTTCCTTACATCTTTTTTTTGGTTAAGGCAGCTAAACCTGGGTATAATGCTCTGTTGTTAAAGTTTGTTCACACAATGCTAAAAAATGGAGAATAAAATAAAAGAGCCCCTTGCCTATTCTKGCAATAGCACTTGTCAGGGAAAGACTTGTTTTGGAGTTTCTTTCTCTCTGGGTTTATCTGGAGTTCTAATTTCCCTTGAAGCACTTGAGACTCTTAATGTTTCCTAGAATGCTGCATATTTTCTGGACATAGTAATGAAGACAGATAGATACTGAAGTACTGAAGAGAATTCAGAGTGCAGGAGGACTTGCAAGGAACATTGGTGCTTCTTTTGTTTGCTTTTAAGCTCAAAATATGTGTACCRTAGCTTGGATAAATTGCCCTATAAGTAAAAGTGACTGACTTTATGATAGTGTTCTGCAGTGACATAAACACCAGGGGAAGGAGAGATTTGATGGTTTCCTGGAGGATGATGATTTCTAATCATGAGGGGGAAACGAGCCAACATTTTTTGAGAAGAAAAATCCAGTGAAATTTATTACGCTGTTGAACCATTTCTCTGGGGAAGGAATGTCAGTGCCATCACTCTCACACAATTAAATACCAAGCAGCATATATTATTTAATTATATGGAGAAAAAGGAATTAATAAGATGACTTGATATATACTTGCTGCTTTCACACTCCAAGATTCAGTTGTTCCTAACAGAAAGAGGTGGATCCTGTGAGAATAAATAGTTGTCAGAACATTTTTATAGCGTTCACATTGTGTAAAAAATGAGATTGGTATAGAATARAGTGTCAGGGAAAGGTATTTTATTGCTAGAAACCTAGCCAGCTTTGGTTGGTATGGTTGTATGCAATTAAATCCCATGTCAGTGGAATTATTTGGGAGTTTTTTAAAGAAGCACAAGTGGAAAAAGCATTGTCATGGGACCTGAGGTTTAAAGCATAAATTTTAGCATCAGCAGTACCGCTATGTAGTAGAATGGCAGGGAGAAAAACAGAGAAGAAAGCACAAAAATCGAGGAGCTGTGGAGAGAAGGAATATGCAATTTGTCGTAAACTTTTCGTGGTATTTGGTATGGGGTGCCACCTTGTGGAAGTTTTTAGGTCGTCATGTCTTTTATCAAATCTCTTCCTGACTTCTTACTCTCTTCAGTCATTGTAGATAATCCTGCTTGCATAGATCAGCCTTCAACAGCCATTCCATCACCTGATCTTTTACRTTATCTGAACTTTCAGTGTAATTTGGAGGTGGAGAAATCTTTGGAAGGCAGAGGTAGAAAGTATGTGAGAAGAAGTTTCCTCGGCTTTGCAATGAGCTGTTTGCAGAGCATGATTGGTGCAGGTACCGTGGCATAATGGTGGTACTGCTCTATTGCACGTTGTCAGAAAGCTCTGAACGGAACTGTAATCACATTGTGCACTTTGGTAGCTACAACAGTTGGAAAGATGTTCTTCCATGACTGTCTTTGCTGGAACATTAGAATTGCAGGGAGAAATGGCAGATGTGGATATGTCTGCAGCCTGAGCTGACACCCCGCTTCACTCTGCATTGTACAGGACTCTCCTCCAGTGCGCTCGTATGTCTGGCATTCATCACCATAGTGGTCTGCCTTGGGGCAGCACTGGTGTGTTGCAAATCCACCAGACCTTTTTTGCAGACATTTCATATGGAGTGTCAATGCTTCTTCTCTGCTYAAGGCATTGTGGGAAAGGGAAGGTGCAGGTGAATGATCTTCTGCCAAAAAGCAGTSTTTTGCTCCTGGGTTTACCAAAATACTAATGTATGTACCACAAGCRAGTGAAGAAACAATATGCCCTATATGGAAGTGCATATAGAGGATCTCCTGAACTGAAACCTTGACAAAGGGACAGAGGTCATCTCTCTTTTTTTGCTCTCCAGCTTTGATTCTCCTTCTGYTCTTGGTCCTTTTTATGGTCTTCATGTCCATCCCATGGAGCACCTGTCAGTTTCTTGATTTCCTGTGCTTGGAGGTAGCTCTGCCTTCCCTCATTTAAGCAATTAGGTGCTTCTAACTTTTTCTAATAAACATAAAAATTAATTTTCTGGAGCAATTTCCTAGCCACCTTTTTCTTCTAGACCAAATCTCTGTCAAGGATTGTGCTGCAGGATTTTTTYCAAATGGTACAGAGATGCTGGTAAGAGCTTCTTTCTTCTATGTCTTTTGCTACTATTTCATAATTGGTGTTGTATTCTGAGTGTGATTCTTAATGGCCTATTTATATTAATTCTATGTGCTCCTTTTTGTCCTTTACTTGTCCCTCCTCTGTAAACCTTTTGCCCTGATCTTGCTCTTACCACCACCTYATTTGCCTGCAATGATCTGTTGCTTTTGGCCTAATGATTCCAGAAATCATTGCACTCTTTCAAAACACTTGAGCTAGGGCTGTGATTTCTGAACTTAATAGAGTATGAAAGTCCAAGGAAAGCATTTGTGAAGGACCTTTAAAGTGTGAATTCAGGATCTGATGGAAAGTTACACTGAACAGTTTCAGTCTTTGGTAGAAACTTGTTTGGAAACATTTACAGTCTCATCCATGGAGTGCCATGAAGTCATTGATTAAAGTGTCATCAGCTAATGGCAGTGGTAGTCGTGGCAGCTTAGAAATGCCATTTAATACCTTAAATGAATGATGCGTGGTGAATGCTGTTCCTGACCTCTAAACCATTAAGCTCTGAGCCCCAGCAACTGCCTGCAGTTCTCATCTGACAGTGGAAACAGCTGAGCACAGGGTGGATTCCTGAGTGGGCTTGAGGCACCAAAACTCCAGCAATTCAAGGACAGAGTGGATGAAATTTAAAGCAGGAGCCATAGGGTGGCTGATTCCATAAGCTGCAGACATTTTAAACCTGTTGCCTTGCCCACGGGGTCCTGCAGCAGAATATGATCAGGAGGCTTCTGTTTTGCATCCCCCCCCAGCTCTTTACTACTTCAAGTTCACACTGACCTTGCTGACATACCATGAAAAGCAATGAGAAATCAGTTCGAGATTATCAAGTGGAGAGGACAGATTTGGGGGAAGAGATGAAAGCCCTGTAGCCCTCTCCTGCCACGAGTGTGTGGATGTTTTGTACCAGTCTTTTCATAGGAATAGCAGGTGTTTGGATTTTTTTCCAGCTATACACACCCATGTTGCAGCTGTATCCAGCTCACTTATTGGAAACAGATGTTGTGACATTTATCCATACCTGGTGATGCAAAGCTCCCCAACTCACTCTATGGAGTTATTGTGTGTTGAGCTTTAGAAGCAGAGTGCTTCCCAGTCTCCTTACCTGAGCCAGTTCTTCACTGAGCTGGAGACTCTCCCTAGATGTAAAGAAGTTTCAAAAACTTCAAGCAAACTAGGAAGGGGGCTCAGAGGGGGCAGAAGGGTCACAGGGGAAGTAAAAGAAAATATCCATATGATTATAAACACTRTAAACCTATCTCATAAATAAGGTGACATGATTGCAAGAAGATACTATTCCAGTTTTTCTTACATGTTCCATGAAGCAGCAAAACAGAAAGGAGTCAGTTGTACCCTGAGCCATCAGCCCTGCTGGAAAAATCACCTTAGATAGCAGTGGGGATATTTGCCTGAAATGTTAGGTCTGTAGCTCTTCGTCTTGCCAGGGCAGAGTTGAGCCCTGGTTTAGGAGTTGCTGTTCTCTGATGTTCACTTTTCCTGTTTGAGTAAAAGCGTGCAGGCAAGTGGTGTGGGGTGTGGGGAGTGGGGAACCTGCTGGAGAAAATAATTTTTGTTCCTCTTGTTCCTCACTGYGGATGGGTGAGCACCAGCAGCTTTGGAGTATTACTAGAAGTAATGATTAGGTGCTGTTTTGTTTTTCCTGTACAGTAGTTCAAGTAAATTGGAGACAAAATACTGGGTTGGGAGCAGGGGGGTTATCTCTGATCCCCCTGTCAGTGAAGATGATGTGAATTTCAACTCTGACCTTGGCAAAGATTTGATGGTAAATTAATRGTACTGTGGAGTAGCTCACGGATTTAAAGAAAGTACAGCTAACTCCTACTTCAGATTTCACTGCACACTGATCACAGATCAAGTGGAAAGATGTGTAAGAGAATTTTGGGTGAGTACTACAGAATGGCCATCTTAAGGCCCCTGTAGTGCAACTCTTGGCCCTTGCTCTGAAGATCTGCCCTGTGACTTAGGGTGGAAAAGCTTATTTTCTTAACCAGACATGATACTGTTAAGAGGGAGAAGCAAGTGAAGGTAATTTTATGTCAGATTAGCAGCTTTGCATTTWCTTCAGGTTCTGTCATTGACAGAGAGTAGCAGAAGCTGAACTTCCTGTAGATAATGTAGCTAGAAATCTGATTTTGGTGACATTTCACGAACACTGGCAATCAACACTAAAGCTTTGAGAACTGATACTAGAACCTAACCTGTCTACTGTGACTGGGCATTTCATGACAAATATTTATGAAATGATGAATTTGATTGTAAATATCTTCAGGACTTCCTTGTCTCCCCGAGGATGAGGCAATACAGGGCTGAATACTCTGAGGCATTGCAGATGACTGCAGAAATAAGAGCAAYGGAGCATTCTTTCAAATAATGTATTTTATTTTCATGGAGAAAAACTGCATCGGATTGCTGTTGGGAGATCAATGGGTAGCTCTGGTTTCATGTGCTAAATCTCTCAGAAGAGAATTCTGCCATCCAGTGGCTCTTAAATAGAATTATAAGTGCAGGTGGCATAACCAAGTCTAAGAACATTTAGTTTCGCTTTGTGTCACCAGTGAGGGCATTACTGCAGAGCACTTRCCTGAGAATTCACTTGTGAAATTCTTTCCTTTCAGAGTTGTAAGGGAAGGAGACAGTGACATTTATTTTAACGAAACCTTTCTTTTGTTTGTCTCTTTGCAGTTATGTGGCTGTGGTCTGCTGGGCGTGGGTATCTGGCTGTCAGTGTCACAAGGGAACTTCGCCACATTTTCTCCCAGCTTTCCATCACTTTCAGCTGCCAACCTCGTCATTGCCATTGGCACAGTGATCATGGTGACCGGCTTCCTGGGCTGCCTAGGTGCTATCAAGGAAAACAAGTGCCTCCTGTTGAGCGTAAGACATCAATACTCCTCTTCACTAAGACCAGTGGCTGTTGCTTTGTTATTATTTCATTTGAATGACCAGTGCAAAATAGACTCGTGGCTCACAGTGACATCTCCTTGGCTTTCAGTCTTCTGTGTACTTGCAGTATGACATCCCATACTTTGGTCATTGATACCAGTGAAATCAATGGTATCAGTGATATCAATGATGTATTAGCAAATGTATCCTTGTTACTGTGTGCATAATGTATTAAGTAGCAAAGCAAATTGGTATCAGTTGCCTCTGAATGGTTAAGCATTAACTGTAGCATCAGCCTGGACAGCCTTTCTGGAAATACCTGTTGGAAGGATTGACTGAAAAAATCTTAAGCACAGAGGTGCTCAAAGCATCTCATAGCTATTTTATACATTGTCCTTAACTAAGGCCTTTGTCAGAGGATGGTGGAAACCACCTGAGCCAAAGTTAAGAAGTCAAGGTCTCTTCCAGATCTTATCAATAAAAAATAAATAGTCTGACCCTTGACAGTCTTTGTCCAGCGCTGAAGCACAGAGGTTGGGAACCCCTCTCAGAAAACACAGTGTGGATCACTCTTCTTGCATAAACCCAGGAGGTTTCATCATTAGTCTCCCTGACCAATGATGGAAGGTTATTTGGGGAACTTATAACACACTCCCAATATAAATATCCCACTCCAAAAAAAAAAAAAAGGGTAGAGGAGAAACCCCCTACAAGAGAGGTATAGTGGCAGACAGTGAGAGCTTTCAAACAGACAAGTTCCAATTCGGTCAGAGCTTATGGATACAGATGCTGTGACATTAAGGAGCATGTTTTCCTTGTGCAAAGGTCTCCCTTATATGATGTTGGGGAACAGCTGGGCAGAATTCCTTAGACCATCTCTGAGAATTGAACCGGAGGGAAAACGTGCACCTGTTTTTTCCCATCTGATTGCCTGGTTTTGTGTGTTTTCAGCTAGGAAAGAAAACAGTGATTAGTATTGAGGTCTATGTCATTCATCCACACTAACTGAAACACCAGCTTAATTTTTTTAAAGAGTGTTTATATTCTTGCAAGGTTCTACAAAAGTAATTTTATGCTGTCACGACTGTCACGAGTTTCCAGTTGGAGAGCTTGCTGTGCTGCATCCTGCTTCTTCCCCACTATCTGGGCAGCAGGTGCCATGTCTAAGTGGAGTCCACTACAACATAAAGGCTTGAAAAAAAATGCCTAGTGGGCATGAAGAATAGTAAGAAACTACTAGAACTCACATTTGGGATGCCCCTGCTGAGAGATTTCAGATACAGAGTTGGGAATAGAAGTGCTGAGTAATAAAATGACTATTCCACAGTCACATGTGGTTAAAGCCCATCTGCTAGGAAAAAATTTCTGAGGCAYGTCACACTGATCTTTTTGGTAAGGGATTTAGCATCTGTCCCATTGTCTGTGTGAAGGAAAGAGACTCCCAGGACTGTGTGTGGTGACAGCAGTCAAAAGGAGCAAGACAAATGCATGGCTGAAACTTGCTAACTGGTAGTAAGCCGGTCGTCTTCATAGTTTCTAGCAGCCCAGGGTTTGCTCTCTAGTTGGCAAATGTATATACACTGTCTGTTTTTTCTTTGTTCTAGTTTTTCGTCGTTTTGCTGATAATTCTCCTGGCAGAGCTGATATTAGTCATTTTATTCTTTGTTTATATGGACAAGGTAAGCAAATATGCCTTATAGATTAATTATCTTTGTTAGCATGTAAACCAGGTTTAGTTTTTTGTTTGATGTTGTTTGAAGGTATTTGGGTTCTCCTTGATCTTCACTTAGGTGAAGGTTTAACCTTGAGATTTTGGCTGTCTCCTGTAAGCTGCTTCTGAAGGGGGAGGAGGAAGTGATGACAAGAGCAAGCAGAAGAGAAATTCCTGAAATAAAACCATGGTCCAGAGCCTTCCTTTTAGTCTTGTCCTGAAATCTTAGATAGCCTTCAACATGTTTGATGTCTGCAAGAAGCTGATCCTTTKGTAGTCCTGGGTTGGGGAAGGTCCTGCTTAAAACCAGTTTAACTTCTTACGGCCAACCCTTGGAACAGGACTGGAGGAGAGAGTATGGAATATTCACAGGTTATTCCAAATGCCACCGGTTGTCTCACTTGACTGGGCAGTCCCAGAGTTTGACAAGAGTGTAAAATGGATCAAGAGGCAGTTTCTCATAAAGCCCATCTGTAGAAATCTGCTGTCTCATCAAGACCAAGTGAAGTAGGCACAACCGGCTGGCCTGTCAGATACACAAGGCTGGAAAAGTGCCTGGGGATCTGGAGAGCTCTGCTAAACACAGGGCAGGACCTTACAGTATGAGTAGGTCCAGACTTACTTTAAAGTATCTCCTACCAGACTCTTATCTCTTCTCAGGTTGTCATTATGCTTGCTACTTTCACTGAGCTGATGTGAACTTCTGATTTTGATTGGGATGTRAAAAAGGGACGAAACAGGTCCTATAATATAGCTGACATTTATGCCAGGATCATAATCATTTCTCTGCTATGAGCTCACTACTGTCAGAGGAAAGGTGCATTCTCACCTGCATCCAGGGCTCTGGGCTCAGATTGAAATTTATATAAGAAATTAGACATCTCAGATCTCCTGTTAAGCATTCCAACTTTATCTTCTAAAGAARGAAGGACATTTGAAAATTATAAATCCTACCAGCTTGTTCCCCTAAGGAAAACAAAAAGAATGTTTTTTTCAATTGATTTTGTACTGGCTATCCACTATAGCCTGCCTGAACCCGTGCAAGAATAACTCCACTAAGGTTGGGATGCTGGGGCTCTGGTTTTGATATTAGCAAATGAAAGCAGGCTACAGGTTACAGGCAGGAGAGGCTCCTATGGGGTAATTTCTGGCAAGGCTACAGCAAGGTCAGCACATTGATGCTGTTCATGTTCAGCTACTTTGAATCAGATGATGACTCTATGATGGACTTCTAGCAGAACTCTTCTGTCTTAAGAGCATTAATCCACTGTTTTGCAATCTGAGGGAGAAACGGGGCCTTGGCAGGTGCTTAAAGGTCCCACTGACTTGTGAGAGTCTTGAAACTTTGCTACACACATTAAGTTTGTGGTGAGGGAGGGTAAGAGACAGATGTTCTATGTGTCTGTACCATTTGGTCCTTTCCTCTGAACAGCAGTGCATTGACTTCCTCTGTCTTTTACATGGTACAGGTCAGTGAGAGTGCAAAGAAGGATTTAAAGGAAGGTATGAAGTTATACAATTCAGAAAATAATATTGGACTGAAAAATGCTTGGAATATCATTCAAGCAGAGGTAAAATATTTTCTTTATAGTAAAAAAGTAACAATTTGGTCATAAAGGCCATGTTTTGGTCTTTGGGCTCATGTTTATGACAAGAAGACTAACATACCTAGGGTGTGGAGCCATTTATTTTCTTTGGTTTTGTGCTTTTCTTTGTGTTTTTAAGTATCTGCTTTAAGTGATCAGCAGCCACAGTACACCTTAAAACTAAAAAAGTGTTGTGGTGGCCTCTTTGAAAATACGAAGTAGTTTAGTTGAAGTTTGTTGTTGTGCGTGATTCGCAAGTTGTGCTAGTTTATATATTACTCCTTTACTTCTGCACAGATGAAATGCTGTGGTGTGAATGACTATACAGATTGGTACCCAGTGCTGGGAGAAAACATTGTTCCAGACCGATGYTGTATGGAAAACTCCCAAGACTGCGGACGGAACTCGACTGAATCAGTGTGGAGAACGGTAAGGCCCGCTTTGCCCAGGTCAAGTCTTTGATAGGGGTGGGAAGGAACAAAATAGAGGGACACATGAAAGAAAATGTGACCTTGGGGTTTCAACTTTCATCTTTCATTGTTTCAGGGATGTTATGAGAAAGTTATGAGCTGGTTTGATGACAATAAGCATGTCCTTGGTTCGATTGGGATGTGCGTCCTCATAATGCAGGTAATACTGGCATGATGTTTTTCAACATGGCTTTGATTTGCTGTCAACATTCTTGACTCTGCTGTGGGAAAGGTGATGCTCAGCTGCTCCGAGTTGGAATATTGTTTTCAAAATGTCAGATTTGTTTTATGGGTTCATTTAAGGCCAGTGCTGAGAAAGGGAGCAGGTCAGTAGTCAGTCCTGCAAAGAAGACGTGCTACACTAGGGTTTTGCCTTACCCATGTTTTGACTTCAGGGTACCTCGTTGGAGTTCCCAGATTAAGCCACTTCTTATGCTGTCCTTTCAGAAACTGGTTGATTTTTAATTTTGGAAGCAATTTCCAGAAAACATCAAACTGAGTCAAACCATGGCTGCTGAACTGAGTAGGCCAATGTGTTTAAAAAAAAAAAAGTGCAGAAGTATCATAATAAGCTATTAACGTTTTGGGTTCCTGATCCAGGGAAGTGGTCATGACACCAAGCTTGCCAACGTTCAAGCATTTGGACAATGCTCTCAGGCACATGGTGTGGTTTTTGGGTTGTCTGGTACAGGGTCAGGAGTTGATGATCCTTGTGGGTCCCTTTCCACTCAGGATATTCTATGGTTCTATCACTGCCATACTTTTAGGGGAAAATACCTGAATCTGATCTTTTCAGTCATGGTTATCTGGATAAACAAGCACAAGTTGCTGGGTCAAAGGGAAGAGTGACTTGCATTATTGATTCTGAAAATTTACTGCACATATGACAAAGAACTCTGAGACCTTTTATGCCTCAATCTGTGCTCTGACAGATGCAGCCCCAGACATGACTATGTGCCTGAACAACGTACATTCAAGTTTAATKCTCAGTGTTGAAGCTTGAGAAATATGGTTAGTGTAGAATGACTGTTCAAAACTACAGCTGGGCCATGAACACAGGTCAGCAGTGCAGTTTTGGCAGCCTTCCTATACTAAAGCCCATGTTGTTTGTTTTCCTTCAGATTCTTGGCATGGCCTTCTCTATGACACTATTCCAGCAGATTCACAGGACTGGCAAAAAATACGATGCCTAAAGCCTCTGGAACATTATCACATCAACCTTTCTGTCTCATTATAAAATGAACACAAGGAATGACTGCAAGGAGCATCACGCCGACTAGCCCTGCTGAGGGAATCCGTCCCATTGACAGATCCACTTCGTTGTTACTTGTCCAGTTATTATTACAACTTATTTGACTCTTCTTTTTTTTTTTTTTTTTTTTTTTTTTTCTGTTTCACATTTGCCATTTATTTGCCAAAGAGGGGGGAAACTCCCCAAACAAATGGATTTTCTACATGAAATCATAGATCCGCTCTAAGAATGTTTCTTAACTTAAGAAAATGTTTTGCTCTACTAATCCATGCTATATGTGCAAAAATTACGTGTGTTTGACTTCAAGGGAGAATTCTTCAAAGTCTTCCATTAGGTTTTCAACCCTTTTGTCCAATTTACTGGAAGACTCAGAAAAGCCACTCTAACTGAGAGTCCTAGGAATTGGAGCTGCTTTGCTTTGCAGCTTCTTGTACCTTACGGTGTATACTTTTTTATTATGATAATGATGATGATKATTATTATTATGATGGATATAGCTTAGAATTTAGTTGCCTGACTTATAACTTCTTACTGTTTTTGGTTTTACACATTTATTGTACATTAATTTGGGAACCACTGTGCGATCTCCAGAGGACATGTTTTTCAAAGTTGACAATAGGTGCGGGCAAAGAAATAACTTTTCTCAAGTCCATRAGAAGGCATCATTTATCTACCTTTATCAGGGCCTTGATGCCCTTGCTGTAACAAAGGTATTTCCTTTAAAATCAGAGTCTTTCCTCAGATGAAATGCAAAGCCTTCCCACTGGACCAGATGATGAGCTTCCTACTTCCRTGAGGCAAAGTTCCAATGCTTTACTCACCCAAAGCAGTGCCTGGCTGCTTTATGTCATGCTACTTTGAAAGCTAAAAATGCTGACTAAGCAAGTTACTGCAAGCACAAAGGAGAGAGATTGCAGTCTGACCTAYTGGCAGCAGACTTCACTGATTGTGTTGTCTGCTTCAAAAAGTTTGCCTAAGGCATGGCATGCTGCTGGATGTGACGGAAGGGGATGGCAATTTGATGGAACCGTTATCATGCCATGGCCTGTGTTGCAGGGATTTCCTCAGGCCAAAAACAGCTGTCTCCCTSAGCTAGAAAAGGTGGTTTGATTAAGGGTGACCAGATGATGCAGGAAAGGGACAATTTCCAGAACAGCACTCAGAGATGTTAGGTATTGTCACACCTTCAGAACAGAATTGGTTTTTGCTGATGGGTCGCCAAATTCATCCAGTGGCGTAGTTTACTCAATGCATATTTTTACCAACATTCCTGTTAGAAAACTTGAACATGTATTTCTCTGCTTTGAATGCTTCTTCGTTGCAAGGAGCCCCCACTCACCCATTGTTACAAGATTTTTGCTGTTTTGTGAAGGAAGAGGGAAAGGCTCAGGCAATGGAGGATGTTCTGATTAAACGTCAGTCTCAGCTCTTAAAGAAACACTGCTTTTTGCATGGACAGCATGCGGCCTTCAAAAGCGACCTTCAAAGGTTACCTCATCCAATGTCACTCTCAAAGAGATATTGACACATATTGAGAGATGGGGTTCACTATGACATTATTGGGCTGAGTTTCAGAAGCTGTTGAAGATGGGGATTTTGTGCCTTTCAGAGCTATGCCATGTCAAACTACTCCTCTGGTAAACAAGTTTCTATTAATGTCCAGTTTGAATATTCATACTTTAGGCTCTAAAAARATACCATTTTCATTGTATCATTCAGCCTGTCTTTTCCTTGCAGGCTGAAATAACTGTTGAGCCACTTCGTATCTGGGARGTTTCAGTCCCCTGTTCATCTTCCTGATAAGCCCTGCATGCATCTGTACATCTGGCAGCAATAMTGTTTTGTGTGACCTACGTGTCACTTTTTTGAGTTCCTATGAAATCAGTGTGACAGGAAGGAGTGTGAATGTGTGGGAGATAGGGATGAATTTGGGTGTTGCAGTGAAGAAGRCTACTATTCTTAGAGCGCAGCCCTTGCCCATATGAGCACAATGACTTAAGTTTCACAGGGCTCTAGTTTCCCGCTGAAGCAGACAAGGCCATATGGGTTCAGCTATTTGGATAACCTTTGAAGGAGTCAGGGAAGAGGCAGAGGGAAAGCACAGAAACTGAATCCAGTTTTACTTCCATTTCTAACAAAAATTGGGACCAGGAGCATCTGAGCCTCACTGGAGATGGTTTTTCCATGTTGAAGACGGGGCTCTGATGCCCAGTGTATCTGCTGCTACATGTAAGACTGTATCCAAAGTTGCTAAGATGGGTTCCCATTTTTGCAAGAGAAGACAGGATGGTTTTCGTCTGGTGGCTCCACTGCTYTCTCCCTTTGGTGCTTAGCTTTCTCTAGCTTTTCTGGTGCTCAAAACGAGCCAGGTGCAGGGCTGAGTAGGAGCATCATCTCCTTCCTTTTGGGTCGCACAGTGGTACCTGCCACATCTTAAATTTTAATCTGCAGTCAGTTTTTGTACAAAAATGGTAAAATATATTAGTGAAAGTAATAAGGAAATAAAAAATGTTTATGAGTAACTCAGAGATGAAATGTGTAGTTGCAAACTCAGCTACTTTGCCTTCCATCCAAACTTATTTTTCTAGAATGCTTCATTCCATTTCACGATCTAGCAGCATAGATCCTGAAATCTTTTTTTTAATGACTACTTTAGGCATTTTAAGCACAGTATTAAGTGAGATAGTTACATGAGCTTCATGTATTCATCTCTTTGAAGCCACCTACAGGAGAGGAGTGAAAAGCAGGATTGATTTGTGTCTCTAGCTGACTCTCTGATGTGGGAGGTGATGACAGACATCCTCAAAGAAGCAGAAAGGCAATACCACTTACCAGGCATCAAAAAACAGCTCTGGAAAGTGTGGGGCTGCAGCAGTCAGTTTGTCAGAGAAGGCACCRATTGTCCTGTAAACTGGTTAAAGGGAGCTTTGGCTCATGTATGTATGCACTTTTTTTTGCTTATGCTGGTGGGTGGCTGTCTATGTGTTTTCCCAAAATGTCACTCTGATTATTTAACTATAAGTTTTTAGCATGTTTTTAAATAAAAACTGATACTGAGTAAAAGTATCTTTAATATACACAAATACTGATTTGTATAAATGCATACCTCCCTGTATCTCTAATTCATGAAAGCACAGTTCAAGTCTGTGAAAGTGCTGTTTCTCTGAGTATTCCTGCAGACTGTAGCATACCTGCTGTCTTACTGTCCTTCATGCTCGGGAGCTGCCATAGAACTTACGCAGAGACAAAACAGGAGAACTGCTGGAAGAACCTCTACTTGAAAGCTGAGGAAGTGTTAGCAGTGAATTCTGCTCACTCCTGGTCGTACCAAGGCTGTTTGTTACAGGAAGCCCAGGTGGAAGGTGCTCAAAAGAAGTGCCCAGAGCTAAGTGGCATGTAAAATGCTAAAAGACAGTGACATAAATGTCTCCAAGATAACAGAAGATGCCTTGGATGTGTCACACATTGAGTTCCTGGACTATGGCTATGTTAGGCCAACTCTCCTGTCCTGTGTCCACCTGTTTCATTTCTGTGCATGAAATACAAGCTCACACACAGGGAGGTGCAAGCACAGAAGGCAGCCAGAATGATCCTCATAGTCTTTAGTGGGTGATGTACTGGTCAGGCACAGAAAAGGCAAGGAGGAAAATGGTGTTTTCCCTGCAGATGGTTCTTGGGAGCAGCATGGAATAGGCCACACATAATTCTGATATAACTTTTTTCTGTAAGTTGAGCAGCTTCATCCTGTAGCTGGCATGGGGAAACCTGGAGATGTTTGCCTCTGGGCTAGCCATCTGTTGTGCAGTAGAGAGTAGACACTAAGAAACAACATGCCATTCCCACCGGGTGATGTTTGCACCAGTGTTTCTTCTATGCAATACCTACTTTCGCCTTTATATAAAAGATTTTTACTAGGATGATATAAAAATAAAGGATTTTTTAAAAGGTGCCTCTTTCAGCTCATTTGTCTCCTAACTCCACCACCAAAAAAAAAAAAAAAAAAAAAAAAAAAAAAAAAAAAAAAAAAAAAAAGACCAAAAAAATTTCCAAAAGGTGAGTCATGGAGATCTATTCCAGTTCTACTGCAGTTGAAATCCAGAGCTCTTGAAGCTGTTTCAATTGTGAAAAGATTCCTCTCCCCTTCCTCCACCCCACCTCCCCCAGTCTTCTCTCATCCTTCAAAACAATAGTGAGACAGAAAAAGGTGTGAAAACCCCAAATGCGGGAAAAATGGTTTTGAGAGCCTGATACACCAAAGAGATTGGAAGTGCCTCAGAGAACACAGAATAGCTGAAGAGAGGGCAAAATAATACAGAGCTTGAAAGACATCCGGAAGACACTGAGAAATTTCAGACAAAACATGAACTTTCATTAACACTCAGCTAGATTACAGAATAGCCCTCCAAATGCAGGAAAGTAGAAGATGGGCTGAAAGATCCCCAGATGAAACAGTGGAGCCAAGCAGAAGTGAACAAAGCAACAGAAACTCTGAAAGAGATTCCAAGTGCATAAACTAGCCTCAGGGAAGGAAAGAAAACCTGTAAGTKCTCAAGGTAACAAAATGCAGCAGAGTCAAAGAGGCCAAGAAAGAAAGAGATAAGGCAAAGGACCCCCTRGAGAACACAAAAGAGGCTCAGTGATAACAAGAAGGTATCAGAGCTATTAAAGGAGCTCCAGACTAGTCAGTAGTAACAAGAGTGGCCTCAAGAGAAGATCAAAAAATTTTWAAAAAAGGAGAAAGATTGAAAGTGCCACAAAGAGTAGCATCAAATAAGGGAAGATGAGCTAGAATCTGTAAAAGACTCAGAGAACACAAAGTGGCCTCAAAGAGGCAAAGGAACCAGCAGAAAGCCTGAAATAACCATGATGAACACACAAGAGACTTTGACAGTAACAAGAAAATATCAGAAATTCTGAAGGTGCTCAAGGAGTGTATGCCTGCAGCTGCTAAGAGAGGAGAGAGGCTAAAAGAGCATCAGARAATAGCCTTGGAGAAGAAAAGAAACAAGCAGGAAGGCTGAAAAAGTCCCAGGAGAAAGAAAARTAGCTTCTGAGATGCCATGAACCTTGAAGGAAGACTAAAACAGCCCCAGAAAATTTCAAACTTCCAAAGAAGGGGCTGAGGGGTGAGTGAGATATGAAACAAGCAGAAAGACTGAAAGTGCTCTACAGTCACCTCAATGAGAGGAAGGAAGAAACTGAAAGGCAGCCGTAGTAGCTTTGGAGAGGTTAGGGTAGAAGTGGAGAGGTTGGGAGAGTCCCAGAGAACAGAGTAGCCTTGCAGAGCCTGAGAGATTAGAAGAGAGCCTGAAAGAACCCCAGAGAAGAAAGTAGCAWAAAGCCTGCAAATGTGAAGGATAACAAAGTTTAGTCTCAGAAAGGTGGAAAAAAATAGGCAAGCAAGAAAACCCAGAGATCCTACAGTAGCCTTGGAGAAGTGAGAAAATACAGCAGAAAGACTGAAAGAATGCTGAGAGAACAGAGARCAGCTTCACAGAGACTAAGAAAAAAAGCACGTTAGAAGAGTCCAAGGAGGACATAGTGGAGGCCCACAAAACTAGGAGAGACACTACAACAACCCCACTGCATGCAGAGTATCTTTAGGGCAAGCTTTCCCAGCTAGGCTGGAAAGCCTGGTGGAAAATGTGCTCTCATCCTTGTTCCTCAAAGCAGGGCTTTATTGCCATGAAAGCCAAAGCTCTGTCTACAGCACAGACTTGGGGTCTCTCCTGCCCAAGCCTTTCCTTCCCACTGGCAGGACCCAGGGGAACAGCACTTGGGCTCCAGYGCCCTGTAGCCACCCTTGGTTTGTCTAAGGTAACGCTGGTACACACGTGGAGGAGCAGCCAAAGTCCAAACATGCCTTGGTGGTCTCTGTAACAGCCCTGAGTCCAACCTCCCTGCAATCTGCAGGGCATGTGAGGTACAAATAAGGCCAGGAGATGGGTGTCTCTGTACCCTCCAGAAGGAAGTCTCCAAGCAGTGTTCCAGACTGGCTCAGGCGTGGTCCAGGTTCAGCTGGCTGTGGTGCATCCCTTGGCAATTCACAGCATCCTGAGCTAAACAGTGGGGCGGTGAGTGCATGGATTACAGCAGATGTGGGGATGCATGTGTGTGTGCACACGTGAGTATGGGAATGTGCTGTAGCTGTGGGGAAACCCAACTCTCTGTACACCAGACAGACTCTGGAGATTTTATTTTCTCTTTTTTTTTTGTGGCAGGTTGACCCCTCACCCATAGCTAAGCACCACATGGTGTCTCAATTACTCTCTCCAGAAAACTACAGCAGAATGGGGAGAGCAAAAGTGAGAAAACTCGCAGGTTGAGATAAATATAGTTTAGTAACTGAAGGAAGGAGGAAGGGGAAAAAAACAGTGATGCAAAAGCAGACTGATGTCCAGTCAGTCTCTGAGCAATGGCTGCCTTCCCAAAATCTCTATTTCTGTTACTCTGAATATCACAGAGCATACAATACCATATGGATCYGTTTAGGTCAGCTGTCCTGCTTGTGTCACCTCCAAATTCTCAGATATCCCTGAGGGGGGCTGAGTGGGAGTAAGAGAAAGCCTTTATGCTGTGCAAGCAGTGCTCAGTAATAGCCAGAACACAGGTATGTTATCAGGGCTGCTTTARTCACAAATCCCAAATGCAGCATCATACAGTCTGCTACAAAGAAAATTAACTCTATCTCAGACAGACCCCAGCATACTTTTAAACATCACTTGAGTGCTGGTGGATGGAGACATCATGAGGATCTGGAGAGACGTGGAATGTAATTTTGCCTCTTCTTACAAACAACTATCCTCTCCAGACCTCCCAGACAACCACAGTCTCCCAGCACACAGTTTGCAGTGTGACAGTGTCTCCAATCATCCCAGTCTTGCTCACTGCATTCCCCAGACACACAAGCAACTACTGATAGTTGTTTGTGCTGCCTAATGTAACTGGGCACAAAAGTACTCTGCAAATGCTTTTCTCTTCTCAGAGATAATCCAGTCTAGCAAAGTGAGCAAAGATGGACAAGCCATTCCCTACACAAGTGTTATTCACTAGGAGGTGRGGTGGACAGGGATGCCACATCCAGTCATTGAACCAGATTGCAAGTAATCCCTGCATCCTGTCTTAGGTTACAATGAATGGTGGGAGAGGAGTGCATCAGGCTATAGATAAGTATTTTCTTCTCTGTCTGGAGAACTAATGTGTATATTGAACTCTCAGGCTGATAGAGTCCCCTGCAGGCATACAGAGAAAGACTATGAGTACTCCACATGGTAAGGTGTGGTTGGAGAATGAAATGTTACAATTTATGGCTTAAACAACTTCATGAAAGACTTTTGCCTACTAGAGCAAAAYTGTACAAAAGCTGCAAGAAGACCGTCAAGACCCTGAATGGGGCCCTGAACTACATTGCTCACTGCCCGTTGATGAAGATAAGATAAAGTAACAACTCAGGGCTGGGGGAGAAGAATACATTCACAGAGGGTTCAAGCTTAGCAACTTCGGGGTGRAGACCATGACCCCAGGGCTATCAGCTGCCAGGCTTGCACAGACTGACATCAAAGAGTGGTGGAATCACTTGAACAAATCCTGCAAAAAGCCTGACCTTTATTTAAAATACATCAGGCAGTAACAATATATATAGATAATTCAAAGTCGCCCATGTTATACATACAGCACTGACATATTTTCAATCAAAAAAATAAAAAGTTCAACAGACATTCAGCACCTGAGGCAGTAGCAGAAGAATCCTCCCTTGCTTCTAATCTCTGTTTAGATCCATAAAGCAAGTCAGCACAGGCAGGATACATCCCAACAAACTTCATGYGCTTTCTAACAATGTTGATACAAATAACACGCTTGAAAGAAGGTTCTACTTCCAGAAAACTCCGTTCGTTATTCCAGAAACATTATGTTCATGCCACTGAAATGCCTCCAGTTATTTACCACAGGCTGCTTGACTTTTCAGCTCAGAAAGATATTGTTTTCTAACTCAGTATTCAGAGGCAAGGTCAGCAACGTCAGAATCTGTATGCACATGCTGTTGGACACTCCCTTGGAATTGGAGAAATTCATTGTTTTCACTCCAACTGTGTTGTTCTTGGCATGCTGCTCAATGAAAATCCTTCACTGCAGGATGTGCTGCAATGACTGCACACATGTATAAAGACTGCCTATGTTTTGGAAGTTATCAGTGGCTGACTGCAGAGCACTATAGCAGGTGTCACTGCCAGCTTCTCCACTCAGCAGATCCCCTCCTAGACTGTCTGCACCAAAGGGCTGGGGTGATCTACACTCAGCACTGTCTTCTCTTACTAACTGGTCCTAGAGCTGTTGGAGGTGTTTCAGAYCTCTGTTGTGGCATAAAGCTGCTCATGGGCCCTGAGTGCCTGCAGCAGCCACTTGCTGCTGCCCTCTTTGTGCTGTGTGACCTACACCATGCACAGTGTGATGGTCGCATCTGCTGCCATTCCTGGCACCAGGGTGGCATCAAGCCTTTAAAATGCTGTGCATGCAGAAATGGATGCAGGCACTGGCTCCAGGATATGTGTGCTTCACAGGAAGATGACAGGCTGTTTTATTACRAAATTACAAATAATTACCGAAATTATTCCTTGGTAAAGCAGAATGCTGTTGCTATCCAGGCCAAAAATCAAAAGAATTGAAATGCCAAGTGGTGGGGTAGAGAGCAGTGTCGGGACTGTCATGCCTCTGGTATCACAAAGGACTGGTATTGGTACAGGAACTAGGATTGGGACTGTTACTGGTACTAGTACTAGAACTGGAACTGGGACTGGGACTGGAACTGGGCCTGATACTCACACAGATACGGGGACAGGTACCTGAACAGGTGTTGGTACCAGAAGTGGGACTGGGACTGGTGCTGGTGGTGTTAGTGCTTGGACTGGTACTGAACTGTGCCTCGTACTGGTATTCGTAATGGTACGGTACTCGGACTGTTTTTGGAATTGGGACTGGTGCCAGAACTGGGACTGGGCCTGGTACAGGTACTGGGACTGGAACTGGCATTGAACTGGTATTGGTACTGGCACTGGGCCTCGTACTCGTACGGGTACCGGTACAGGTACTGGGACTGTTCTTGGCACTGGCACTGGTGCTGGAACTGTCGCTGTGACCGGGCCTGGCCCGGTACCGCTGTCAGTGCTGACACTGTGGGACGAGCACCACCACAGCTCCAGCTCTCAGGCCCTGTCCGCGCCTGCCCCGCGTCACGGCACAGCTCCGCCCCCGCTCCCGCTCCCGCCCCGCCCCCGCGGTCATTTGCATGCCCGCCCCCGACGGGCCAATGGGGCGCGGCCGCCGCGGCGCTGGCCCCGCCCTTCGCGGCCGCCGGTAACGGAAGCGCCGGGAGCGGAGCGGGCCCCGAACGGGGACAGCAGCGACCATCGGAACTGCATC